GTCATAGACTAAGGCAGTATACTCTTTTATTACCGGGGTTCTTGATATTGTGTAAAATCCGTCACTTTTTTTTTTTTTTAAATAGTTTTCCAGTGGAGATGATGGTCATTTTACCCAATGGTACTGTGGTGCATCATGAGAATGCTAATCAGTTGCTAGATTTGCAGTCATCAACACCAGACACAGTGTTAGAGTGAGTATATCTAGACATATCGTATATGCTTAGATTATAGAAGCACATGCTAAAGTATATGACAAAGTTGTTCATCTGGTCAAAATGATAAAGCGTACAATGGATTTTTTAAGTTATTATGCACTTCTATTGATGTGATGCGCTCGTAATAGAGCAAATACTGTACTAGTATTATTGTTACTGTGTAACATGACATAAATCACTGCTGTTTAATTAAAAATGTAGTCACAATCCATTATTAAATTAAAGGTACATTGTAATAATTTATTGTTAAATAAAGATGCACTGTAACAATTAATTAATTTAAAGAAGATATCTCATACAGTTTGTAATAGTTTTCTCATATTTCAGTGTATTTTTATTCCATACAAATTTCATATCAATGAATGCATCTTTCTTTAATGTTTTATATTTTCAGGACTATCCATGATCCACTTGAATCGGGTTATGCAAGATTTTTGAACACTGGAATCGAAAAGGCTAAAAAATTTGCTGAATAAGAAGACAAATTTGTTGCTATTTTATTTTCCCACCAAATATATATATATATCAAATAACTTGTATGAATATATTGCCTTAATTAATTGTTATAAACATATCTTTGTTTTTCAGAAATAGTGACAGGCTATTAAAATCCATGTTTTTCTTACAGGAAGCATAGTGAAGTTAGAAGTACATACTTCATTTGTAGAAATCAGCAGTACATTATTTATTTACACCAAATTTGAATGGAATGTGAATTTTAAAATCCTGTGTCTTTACTCTGAAAATTACAAATTTCTATTATGAGCACAATATTTAACTGGATATTATATGTATCTTTTTTTTTTTGTAATTACAAATAGTTGATGTAATCTGTTTTCACTGCAAAGTTTTGTAGAAAAGAAGCAAAAATTCATTCTTTGTAAATTAATATGTGCATTTCCATCTTATTTACAATATTAACTACCTAATATATATAGAAGTATAAACACTGGTTTTAATTCTAGATTTTCATGAAAACTTTTTATCGTGAAATTGTGAAGAAATTTTTAGTTCTTGCCTAATGAATTGGGTTTAATTCTAATGAATCGGTTTAATACTGATGTGGGTATCTTCTCTTAAAACTGTTGATGATATTATGAACTTTTTGTCAGGTAATTCAGTTTTATTATGTAACATTTCACTTATTACAGTCTTGAGCTTTTATGTCTTGTGATTTTATCACTATTGGTTTTGGTCATAATTCCACCCAATTATCACTCAAGGCAGCCATCTTGAGTCATGTTCAAAGCTTTCAGCTCTCTCAATATCTTGCTGAATCTAACCTATGAACATATTCAAGTTCAATTTCAGTGGGTTGTGATCACTGAATATGTTTATTTGAGCCATCATAAATAGTTTCAAATATTCTGAATAATGTTTTAGAAATCCACATGTGGAAGTCAGAATGGGCTGAAAATTAAAATGTAGCTCTTTGATTTATCTCGTTTTAATTTTCAGAAATTTACGCTTTTCATTGTAATGGTCAATGTAATTGTGCAATGCTGCAATACTACTCAGTTATATTAGAAAAGCTACTGTAATGTCTTCCAAGATGTTCTAAAATTTTCAGTACTAACAACCTGGTTTATCCTTTTCACCACCAGACTTTCTCGCATAAATTTTTCTGAAATTTTTCTTATATTCTTCAATATTTCTGGAAATAAACCCTAATATTGGAGCCAACAGACAAAATTTGAGTCAATTTTTGGTTTTTACTAAAAAAAATTGGCTATAGTTGTCCCAATCTTCTGAAGGAATGTGAGACTATAAGTGGAACTATTTTGTGAATTTGTGTTGAAAACAGGGAACTGGTGGTGAAAAGGTTATACATTTAATACAACCTTGATGCTAAAATGTATTTTCACATTGAAGTAAGCCTTAACATTCAACATCAACAGAAAATGCAAATATTCAAAATTAACAAGCTCAAAGTTTAACAAGCTCTCCCTTCTTCTGTGGAGCACAAGACATTTTAACATTAATGAAATTTATAACGAATCTTATTACAAAAGATACTTTTATAACCAGATGGGCAACAGGTGTCCTACACTGTTTCTCATCAAAATATATTACCGTCGGTAGTTGAGATTACCTTTTTATAGTATGTATCCCTATACCAGTAATATTTTGTACTTTCTATGAGACGAATTACCGTGATCTTAATGATGTTTATTTATTGTTTTATGTTGAAAAATATTTCATGTGTTTGTGTATCCATGACGACAAAATTCAAAAACACCCCCAAGGTGTGGAGTTGTGTCCGATCTTCAACACGTGCAGTATGGAGTATCTTCTAACTACAAAACCAAATGAACATCATTATCTTCTCAAAAATGTGTTTTAACACAGTGCTAATCTAAGCTTTTTATTAAAAATATCTTATTTATAAATAAAATGATATCACAATTCCTAAAGTGCAAGACAAATGTGTCTCAGTTTGTGGGAGGGGTTTTTAAATTAAAATAAAATTATTATAGATACGGATATGTAACAAATATGGATAACCGAGTTGCTAAGCACAAAGTGGAGATTGTCAGGGTTCAAAAATTCAATAATTATGCATAAATATTGTACCACATAGACATTTCTTGGCAACTTAGGATTTCCCAAAAACCACCAAGTAAACATTGGCTTAACTAAAACTAATTGTGGTTGCCAGTGTGAAATGGCATTTATGATGGAAAGCTGTTTTGAATCAAAAGTTATTTCCATAAGTTTAGTCAACATGGGTCATAGTGGAAACATGCCAACCATAATCATCTCCATAGCAACTACACTAAACTGCAGTTTTGTGGAACAACACTGAAGAAAGTTTACTGGATAAAACATACGAGTCAATAGAAAACATGTTGACTTGAGCTCCAGACAAATATTGGTTATGTTTTGATCTGTATCTGGTACACATATGTCACATCAAAAGCTGACTTAAAATTGTTTTTTATCTAAAAGAAAAGAGAAGAGATTGTTCCTGCCATTGGTGGCGCTATATCCTGCCCATGCCTGTGCAGATTGTCTTTAAACATGAAACATTCTTTATTTTGGATGTGTTCCAAAAACATTTGTCAATGCTCTTTGCTGATATCACTCATAGTTGTAACAATCATTCAAAATGCTGGTTATGTGCTTGTGTTCCTAGCAACCATGAAGACATCTTTAACAACCAGTTTAAAACCTTTTAAGTCAATAGTGTATAGCTTATAGTTTAAGCAACCATTCACAATGTCTATATGTTTTTGTCTATAAATACGTCCCCAGCAACACAAGTACGCTCATTTCTTCTTTAACTGCATATAAAAATAATACATAAACACGTGCCCAATTGTCTCTGCAACTTTTTTGTGTTTTTTTTTCATGTTAATCAGAGGTAAAATATTATGTATGACTGAAACTTGCTTATAAAACATGGGAAACATTGCTGGAAAGTAGTTCACAAAGTCGAAAAGGTGATATTTGGATGTCAAAGGTCAGAAAATGGAGTTGATATATCATTCCTTCAAATCATTGTCAAGATTGTTGCAGATTGTTTGGTGGTTTTGCATACATATTTGCATACTTATTCACGTGCGAGTAATCACTCCCCGTGATCAAATTCTCAAGTCACCAAACTTCCCAATTCACCTAGATATGATCCATAATAATCTCTGGCTCCTGATTTCTCTTGCAATTTGGTCCTAGAACATTCTCATAATTGCGTTCTATGGGAGCCCCTGCATGATGGAGAACATGATTGTATCTGGCATTCTCTTTTGTTCGTTTATTCAATTCTAAAAGTGATGCACATGTCAACAAAATGGCGTACATCTTGAGATATCATATCACAAATAATATTTAGCTTTCATTCTGGGACTGGTACTTCCTACACCTTGATGTTTAGCTGATAGATTATGATTTACTTACAGCTCTTCCATTAGAAATGACCTAGATACCACCAATAATTCTCTCTCATTTTCGTAATGTGTCGGTAATTTTGCTTCTTTCC